AGAGGTTGGCAGAGAAGATTCGGAGAAATTAGCAGCTGTTCAGTAATTCTTCAGGTCTTCGATATCAGAGGTTGGCAGTGAAGATTCGGAGAAATTAGCAGCTGTTCAGTAATTCTTCAGGTCTTCGATATCAGAGGTTGGCAGTGAATATTCGGAGAAAGTAGCAGCTGTTCAGTAATTCTTCAGGTCTTCGATATCAGAGGTTGGCAGTGAAGATTCGGAGAAATTAGCAGCTGTTCAGTAATTCTTCAGGTATTCGATATCAGTAATTCTTCAGGGTTGGCAGTTGGAAGATTCGGAGAAATTAGCAGCTGTTCAGTAATTCTTCAGTTCTTCGATATCAGAGGTTGGCAGTGAATATTCGGAGAAATTAGCAGCTGTTCAGTAATTCTTCAGTTCTTCGATATCAGAGGTTGGCAGTGAATATTCAGAGAAAGTAGCAGCTGTTCAGTAATTCTTCAGGTCTTCGATATCAGAGGTTGTCAGTGAAGATTCGGAGAAATTAGCAGCTGTTCAGTAATTCTTCAGGTCTTCGATATCTTCAGTGAATATTCGGAGGTAGCAGCTGTTCAGTAATTCTTCAGGTGAAGATTCGGAGAATGTAGCAGCTGTTCAGTAATTCTTCAGGTCTTCGATATCAGAGGTTGGCAGTGAATATTCGGAGAAAGTAGCAGCTGTTCAGTAATTCTTCAGGTCTTCGATATCAGAGGTTGGCAGTGAAGATTCGAGAAAGTAGCAGCTGTTCAGTAATTCTTCAGGTTCTTCGATATCAGAGGTTGGCAGTGAAGATTCGGAGAAATTAGCAGCTGTTCAGTAATTCTTCAGGTCTTCGATATCAGAGGTTCAGAATATTCGGAGTTGGCAGCTGTTCAGTAATTCTTCAGGTCTTCGATATTAGAGGTTGGCCGTGAATATTCGGAGAAATTAGCAGCTGTTCAGTAATTCTTCAGGTCTTCGATATCAGAGGTTGGCAGTGAATATTCGGAGAAATTAGCAGCTGTTCAGTAATTCTTCAGGTCTTCGATATCAGAGGTTCAGTGAAGATTCGGAGAAATTAGCTGTTCAGTAATTCTTCAGGTCTTCGATATCAGAGGTTGGCAGTGAATATTCGGAGAAAGTAGCAGCTGTTCAGTAATTCTTTTGGTCTTCGATATCAGAGGTTGGCAGTGAATATTCGGAGAAAGTAGCAGCTGTTCAGTAATTCTTCAGTTCTTCGATATCAGAGGTTGGCAGTGAATATTCGGAGAAATTAGCAGCTGTTCAGTAATTCTTCAGGTCTTCGATATCAGAGGTTGGCAGTGAATATTGTAGCAGCTGTTCAGTAAAGATTCGATATCAGAGGTTGGCAGAGAAGATTCGGAGAAATTAGCAGCTGTTCAGTAATTCTTCAGGTCTTCGATATCAGAGGTTGGCAGGAAGATTCGGAGAAATTAGCAGCTGTTCAGTAATTCTTCAGGTCTTCGATATCAGAGGTTCAGTGAATATTCGGAGAAAGTAGCAGCTGTTCAGTAATTCTTCAGGTCTTCGATATCAGAGGTTGGCAGTGAAGATTCGGAGAAATTAGCAGCTGTTCAGTAATTCTTCAGGTCTTCGATATCAGAGGTTTGGCAGCTGTTCAGTAAATCGATTCAGAGGTTGGAGAAATTTAGCAGCTGTTCAGTAATTCTTCAGGTCTTCGATATCAGAGGTTGGCAGTGAATATTCGAGAAATTAGCAGCTGTTCAGTAATTCTTCAGTTCTTCGATGGTCTTCGATATCAGAGGTTCGTTCAGAATTCTTATTCAGAGAATATTCGGAGAAATTAGCAGCTGTTCAGTAATTCTTCAGGTCTTCGATATCAGAGGTTGATTCAGTGAAGATTCGGAGAAATTAGCAGCTGTTCAGTAATTCTTCAGGTCTTCGATATCAGAGGTTGGCAGTGAATATTCGGATATAGCAGCTGTTCAGTAATTCTTCAGGTCTTCGATATCAGAGGTTGTCAGGTGAATATTCGGAGAAAGTAGCAGCTGTTCAGTAATTCTTCAGGTCTTCGATATCAGAGGTTGGCAGAGAAGATTCAGTGAATATTCGGAGAAAGTAGCAGCTGTTCAGTAATTCTTCAGGTCTTCGATATCAGAGGTTGGCAGTGAATATTCTTAGCAGCTGTTCAGTAATTCTTCAGGTCTTCGATATCAGAGGTTGGCAGTGAATATTCGGAGAAATTAGCAGCTGTTCAGTAATTCTTCAGGTCTTCGATATCAGAGGTTGGCCGTGAATATTCGGAGAAAGTAGCAGCTGTTCAGTAATTCTTCAGGTCTTCGATATCAGAGGTTGGAGAATATTCGGAGAAATTAGCAGCTGTTCAGTAATTCTTCAGGTCTTCGATATCAGAGGTTGGCAGTGAATATTCGGAGAAATTAGCAGCTGTTCAGTAATTCTTCAGGTCTTCGATATCAGAGGTTGGCAGTGAATATTCGGAGAAAGTAGCAGCTGTTCAGTAATTCTTTGGTCTTCGATATCAGAGGTTGGCAGGTGAATATTCGGAGAAATTAGCAGCTGTTCAGTAATTCTTCAGTTCTTCGATATCAGAGGTTGGCAGTGAATATTTAGCAGCTGTTCAGTAATTCTTCAGGTCTTCGATATCAGAGGTTGGCAGTGAATATTCGGAGAAAGTAGCAGCTGTTCAGTAATTCTTCAGGTCTTCGATATCAGAGGTTCAGTGAAGATTCGAGAAATTAGCAGCTGTTCAGTAATTCTTCAGGTCTTCGATATCAGAGGTTGGCAGTGAAGATTCGGAGAAATTAGCAGCTGTTCAGTAATTCTTCAGGTCTTCGATATCAGAGGTTGGCAGTGAATATTCGGAGAAAGTAGCAGCTGTTCAGTAATTCTTCAGGTCTTCGATATCAGAGGTTGGCAGTGAATATTCGGAGAAATTAGCAGCTGTTCAGTAATTCTTCAGGTCTTCGATATCAGAGGTTGGCAGAGAAGATTCGGAGAAATTAGCAGCTGTTCAGTAATTCTTTCTTCAGTTCTTCGATATCAGAGGATTGGCAGTGAATATTCGGAGAAATTAGCAGCTGTTCAGTAATTCTTCAGTTCTTCGATATCAGAGGTTGGCAGTGAATATTTAGAGGTTGGAGAATAAAGTAGCAGCTGTTCAGTAATTCTTCAGGTCTTCGATATCAGAGGTTCAGTGAAATTCGAGAAATTAGCAGCTGTTCAGTAATTCTTCAGGTCTTCGATATCAGAGGTTGGCAGTGAAGATTCGGAGAAATTAGCAGCTGTTCAGTAATTCTTCAGGTCTTCGATATCAGAGGTTGTCAGTGAATATTCGGAGAAAGTAGCAGTAATTCTTCAGGCTTGTTCAGTAATTCTTCAGGTCTTCGATATCAGAGGTTGGCAGTGAAGATTCGGAGAAAGTAGCAGCTGTTCAGTAATTCTTCAGGTCTTCGATATCAGAGGTTGGCAGTGAATATTCGGAGAAATTAGCAGCTGTTCAGTAATTCTTCAGGTCTTCGATATCAGAGGTTGGCAGTGAATATTCGGAGAAATTAGCAGCTGTTCAGTAATTCTTCAGGTCTTCGATATTAGAGGTTGGCCGTGAATATTCGGAGAAAGTAGCAGCTGTTCAGTAATTCTTCAGGTCTTCGATATCAGAGGTTGGCAGTGAATATTCGGAGAAATTAGCAGCTGTTCAGTAATTCTTCAGGTCTTCGATATCAGAGGTTGGCATTCTTGAAGATTCGGAGAAATTAGCAGCTGTTCAGTAATTCTTCAGGTCTTCGATATCAGAGGTTGGCAGTGAATATTCGGAGAAAGTAGCAGCTGTTCAGTAATTCTTCTGGTCTTCGATATCAGAGGTTGGCAGTGAATATTCGGAGAAAGTAGCAGCTGTTCAGTAATCTTCGATATCAGAGGTTGGCAGTGAATATTCGGAGAAATTAGCAGCTGTTCAGAGAAATTCTTCAGGTCTTCGATATCAGAGGTTGGCAGAGAAGATTCGGAGAAATTAGCAGCTGTTCAGTAATTCTTCAGGTCTTCGATATCAGAGGTTGGCAGAGAAGATTCGGAGAAATTAGCAGCTGTTCAGTAATTCTTCAGGTCTTCGATATCAGAGGTTGGCAGTGAAGATTCGGAGAAAAAGCTGTTCAGCAGGTCTTCGATATCAGTGAATATTTCTGTTCAGTAATTCTTCAGGTCTTCGATATCAGAGGTTGGCAGTGAATATTCGGAGAAATTAGCAGCTGTTCAGTAATTCTTCAGGTCTTCGATATCAGAGGTTGGCAGAGTGTGAATATTCGGAGAAAGTAGCAGCTGTTCAGTAATTCTTCAGGTCAGTGAATATTCGATATCAGAGGTTGGCAGAGTGAATATTCGGAGAAATTAGCAGCTGTTCAGTAATTCTTCAGTTCTTCGATATCAGAGGTTGGCAGTGAAGATTCGGAGAAATTAGCAGCTGTTCAGTAATTCTTCAGGTCTTCGATATCAGAGGTTGGCAGGTCTTCGAAGAATATTCGGAAAGAAAGTAATTCTTCAGGTCTTCGATATCAGAGGTTGGCAGTGAATATTGTTCAGTAATTCTTCAGGTCTTCGATATCAGAGGTTGGCAGTGAAGATTCGGAGAATGTAGCAGCTGTTCAGTAATTCTTCAGTTCTTCGATATCAGAGGAATATTGGCAGCTGTGAAGTAATTAATAGCAGCTGTTCAGTAATTCTTCAGGTCTTCGATATCAGAGGTTGGCAGTGAAGATTCGGAGAAAGTAGCAGCTGTTCAGTAATTCTTCAGGTCTTCGATATCAGAGGTTGGCAGTGAATATTCGGAGAAAGTAGCAGCTGTTCAGTAATTCTTCAGGTCTTCGATATCAGAGGATTGGCAGTTGAATATTCGGATAAAGTGAATATTCGGAGAAATTGTTCAGTAATTCTTCAGGTCTTCGATATCAGAGGTTGGCAGTGAATATTCGGAGAAAGTAGCAGCTGTTCAGTAATTCTTCAGGTGGCTTCGATATCAGAGGTTGTGAATGAATATTCGAGAAAGTAGCAGCTGTTCAGTAATTCTTCAGGTCTTCGATATCAGAGGTTGGCAGGTGAATATTCGGAGAAATTAGCAGCTGTTCAGTAATTCTTCAGGTCTTCGATATCAGAGGTTGGCAGTGAAGATTCGGAGTATTAGCAGCTGTTCAGTAATTCTTCAGGTCTTCGATATCAGAGGTTGGCAGTTGAATTCCCCAGGTCTTCGATTCAGAGGTTGGAGAAAAGTAGCAGCTGTTCAGTAATTCTTCAGGTCTTCGATATCAGAGGTTGGCAGAGAAGATTCGGAGAAAGTAGCAGCTGTTCAGTAATTCTTCAGGTCTTCGATATCAGAGGTTGGCAGTGAAGATTCGGAGTATGTAGCAGCTGTTCAGTAATTCTTCAGGTCTTCGATATCAGAGGTTGGCAGTGAAGATTCGGAGAAAGTAGCAGCTGTTCAGTAATTCTTCAGGTCTTCGATATCAGAGGTTGGCAGTGAATATTCGGAGAAAGTAGCAGCTGTTCAGTAATTCTTCAGGTCTTCGATATCAGAGGTTGGCAGTGAAGATTCGGAGTATGTAGCAGCTGTTCAGTAATTCTTCAGGTCTTCGATATCAGAGGTTGGCAGTGAATATTCGGAGAAAGTAGCAGCTGTTCAGTAATTCTTCAGGTCTTCGATATCAGAGGTTGGCAGTGAATATTCGGAGAAAGTAGCAGCTGTTCAGTAATTCTTCAGGTCTTCGATATCAGAGGTTGGCAGTGAAGATTCGGAGAAAGTAGCAGCTGTTCAGTAATTCTTCAGGTCTTCGATATCAGAGGTTGGCAGTGAATATTCGGAGTATGTTCAGTAATTCTTCAGGTCTTCGATATCAGAGGTTGGCAGTGAATATTCGGAGAAAGTAGCAGCTGTTCAGTAATTCTTCAGGTCTTCGATATCAGAGGTTGGCAGTGAAGATTCGGAGAAAGTAGCAGCTGTTCAGTAATTCTTCAGGTCTTCGATATCAGAGGTTGGCAGTGAATATTCGGAGAAAGTAGCAGCTGTTCAGTAATTCTTCTTCAGGTCTTCGATATCAGAGGTTGGCAGTGAATATTCGGAGAGAAAGTAGCAGCTGTTCAGTAATTCTTCAGGTCTTCGATATCAGAGGTTGGAATATTCAGTGAATCAGATTCGGAGAGAAAGTAGCAGCTGTTCAGTAATTCTTCAGGTCTTCGATATCAGAGGTTGGCAGTGAATATTCGGAGAAAGTAGCAGCTGTTCAGTAATTCTTCAGGTCTTCGATATCAGAGGTTGGCAGAGAAGATTCGGAGAAAGTAGCAGCTGTTCAGTAATTCTTCAGGTCTTCGATATTAGAGGTTGGCAGTGAAGATTCGAGGTAGCAGCTGTTCAGTAATTCGTAGCAGGTCTTCGATATCAGAATAGCAGCTGTTCAGTAATTCTTCAGGTCTTCGATATCAGAGGTTGGCAGTGAAGATTCGGAGAAAGTAGCAGCTGTTCAGAGGTCTTCGATATCAGAGGTTGGCAGTAGATTCGGAGAAAGTAGCTGTTCAGTAATTCTTCAGGTCTTCGATATCAGAGGTTGGCAGTGAATATTCGGAGAAAGTAGCAGCTGTTCAGTAATTCTTCAGGTCTTCGATATCAGAGGTTGGCAGTGAATATTCGGAGAAAGTAGCAGCTGTTCAGTAATTCTTCAGGTCTTCGATATCAGAGGTTGGCAGTGAATATTCGGAGAAAGTAGCAGCTGTTCAGTAATTCTTCAGGTCTTCGATATCAGAGGTGAATATTGGTAGCAGCTGTTCAGAATTCTTATTCAGTGAATATTCGGAGAAAGTAGCAGCTGTTCTGTTCAGTAATTCTTCAGGTCTTCGATATCAGAGGTTGGCAGTGAATATTCGGAGAAAGTAGCAGCTGTTCAGTAATTCTTCAGGTCTTCGATATCAGAGGTTGGCAGTGAATAAGAAAGTAGCAGCTGTTCAGTAATTCTTCAGGTCTTCGATATCAGAGGTTGGCAGTGAATATTCGGAGAAAGTAGCAGCTGTTCAGTAATTCTTCAGGTCTTCGATATCAGAGGTTGGCAGTGAATATTGTAGCAGCTGTTCAGTAATCTTCGATTCAGAGGTTGGCAGAGAATATTCGAGGAGAGCTGTTCAGTAATTCTTCAGCTTCGATATCAGAGGTTCGGAGAAAGTAATTCTTCAGGTCTTCGATATCAGAGGTTGGCAGTGAAGTGAATATTCGGAGAAATTAGCAGCTGTTCAGTAATTCTTCAGGTCTTCGATATCAGAGGTTGGCAGTGAATATTCGGAGAAAGTAGCAGCTGTTCAGTAATTCTTCAGGTCTTCGATATCAGAGGTTGGCAGTGAATATTCGGAGAAATTAGCAGCTGTTCAGTAATTCTTCATTCGATATCAGAGGTTGGCAGTGGAAAGTAGCAGCTGTTCTTCGATATCAGGTCTTCGATATCAGAGGTTGGCAGTGAATATTCGGAGAAAGTAGCAGCTGTTCAGTAATTCTTCAGGTCTTCGATATCAGAGGTTCAGTGAAAATTCGAGAAAGCTGTTCAGTAATTCTTCAGGTCTTCGATATCAGCTTCAGGTCTTCGATATCAGAGGTTGGCAGTGAATATTCGGAGAAATTAGCAGCTGTTCAGTAATTCTTCAGGTCTTCGATATCAGAGGTTGGCAGTGAATATTCGGAGAAAGTAGCAGCTGTTCAGTAATTCTTCAGGTCTTCGATATCGGAGAGGTTGGCAGCTGTTGAATATTCGGAGAAATTAGCAGCTGTTCAGTAATTCTTCAGGTCTTCGATATCAGAGGTTGTCAGTGAATATTCGGAGAAAGTAGCAGCTGTTCAGTAATTCTTCAGGTCTTCGATATCAGAGGTTGGCAGTGAATATTCGGAGAAATTAGCAGCTGTTCAGTAATTCTTCAGGTCTTCGATATCAGAGGTTGGCAGTGAAATATTCGGAGAAAGTGAATATTCGGAGAAATTAGCTGTTCAGTAATTCTTCAGGTCTTCGATATCAGAGGTTGGCAGGTGAAGATTCGGAATGTATGTAGCAGCTGTTCAGTAATTCTTCAGGTCTTCGATATCAGAGGTTGTCAGTGAATATTCGGAGAAAGTAGCAGCTGTTCAGTAATTCTTCAGGTCTTCGATATCAGAGGTTGGCAGAGAAGATTCGGAGAAATTAGCAGCTGTTCAGTAATTCTTCAGGTCTTCGATATCAGAGGTTGGCAGTGAATATTCGGAGAATGTAGCAGCTGTTCAGTAATTCTTCAGGTCTTCGATATCAGAGGTTTGCAGTGAAGATTCGGAGAAATTAGCAGCTGTTCAGTAATTCTTCACGTCTTCGATATCAGAGGTTGGTAGTGAAGATATTTTGGGAGAAAAAACAAAATGGCTGCCTTTATACACGTTGGATTGAAAATTTTGAGCTTTCTGATTGCTTAACCCTTTTATTAGTTTACTATAAAATGAGTCTGCTCGATTTGGCCAGCTCACTAGAACTAAAAGTTACCCCAATATTCCAACAATATTGACTTCCAGTTTACTGGAAAATCCACTTCTATAGTTCCTTTTTTAAAACTAGGGTGAAGTGTCTGATCTTTGGAATTATCGAGCTAGAATTTTTATCCCTTATTTGGCAATATACAAGAGATCCTAATGAACAAATTCATTAACTATAAAACCTAGCAGTGTCTTCTTTCTGACAAATAATATGGCTTTTGCTTCTCAAGGTTAACGTCAGCTGCGTTAATGTTTATTGCTGAAGAAGTCTATCAAGCCTTAGATAAGAATATTATGTTGTTTTAGATATCTCGAAAGCGTTTCACAGTATTTGGTATGTTGATTTCAACTAGAAACCCCATAATTATTCAATAAGTTGAACGGTTATGATGTTTCTGGTTGAATAATTTGATTTGGGTCATTGTTTCTTATCAAATTGATCTCATCTTGAACAGCCACTCTTCATAGATCCTTCGATATAAATGTGGACACTCCTCAGCTCTCTCTCTTTCCATCAGCTCTCCCTCTCCCTCAGTTTTCTCTCTCTCCCTCAGCCCTCTCTCTCACACATCTCTCTCTCTCTATCTATTAGCTCTCACTCTATCCATTAGCTTTCTCTCTCATCTCTCTCTCTCCCTCAGGTCTCTCTCTCCCACAACTCTCTCTTTCATCTCTCGCTCCCTCAGCTCTCTCTCTCTCTCAGCTCTCTCCCTCAGCCCTCTCTCTATTCATCAGATCTCTCTCTCATCTTTCTTTCTCCCACAGCTCTCTCTCCCCCTCAGCTCTATCTCTCCCGCTCAGCTCTCTCCCTCAGCTCTTTCTCCCCCTCAGCTCTATCTCTCCAACCTCAGCTCTCTCTCAGAGCTCTGTCTCTCCTGCAGTTCCCCTCATCACTCTCTCTCCCTCATCACTCTCTCTCCCTCAGCTCTCTCTCTATTCATCAGTTCTCTCTCTCAGCTCTCCATCAGCTCTCTCTCTCCCTCAACTCTCTTTCTCAGCTCTCTCCCTTAGCTCTCTCTCAGCTCTCTCTTTCAGCTTTCTCTCTATCCATCAGCTCTCTCTCTCAGCTCTCTCTCCCCCTCAGATCTCTCTCTCTCTTCTAGGATCTACTTTCTTTCTAATTCTTTTTCAAACGACCTTCCTGTTGTCATCAGTTCTTTACTCGACGGCTACGCCGATGATCCAACTATTTACTCCCATCTCAATGGATTAGATAAAGTCAAATTCGAAGCTGATCGCCAAAAATGACCTTCAATCTGGGCCAAGAAATTTTAACCTCAAATTTAAACTTCCTGATATTAATTACCTTAGATAATTTCTATGTCTTCCATCAGCATGGCTGATGCTTCCTCAAGGAAAATTGGTATCACGTTTTTCACTGACATCAATGGGGACGATCGTATCAATTGCGAATTTTGCCGCTAAGAAAGGTTGCGTGGTACACAATCTTTCGCACCGTAAACTCTCTTGTATAAGTCGACTATTCGCCCATGCATTGAATATTGCTGTGACATCTTTCCTGGAGCTTCATGTATCTAGAGATTTTTGAGAAAATCTGAAGACGAATTTGCAATGTTATTGATCTTGGTCTGGCATCTCGGCATTAGTTATTTCGTTGCTTCACCGTAATTTTCTGTAAATATTTTCATGCTCATTGTTCTGGTAAACTTTCCTCTTTGTTATTTCCACCTTCATGTATTTAAGCGTAGGACCACATTGGCATCTACGTCTGATTCTTTCACTGTTGAATTTGCTATGCAGAACCGTAAGTCCTATTCTAACAGTTTCTTCATTTCGCACTTCTCGTCTATGAAACTCTTTTCTGGCTTCTTGCTTCCTTGTCAGATTTGATATTCAGAAATTTAAATCCAACTTCAGTCGTCTTTCTACTACACTGATGCCTAGTTTTTAATGTCTCCTTTCTACTCAATAACATTTTTTTCATTTTCTTTCACTCTTGCATCTTAGTGGATTAATCGCCTTCCTTGTGGCGGGATGATTAAAATGTATTTTTGTTGATCAATAACTAAAAATAGGGTATTTTATTTTACACACAGGACATGACGGAATGGGTTCCACATGGACAGGTAGAATCAAACAATGCATTTATTTTTTGACATTTTGCCTGGCATAAAACGTTAATATAAGCAAGGTATTCATTAAGAGGATCCAGAACATTAATCGTTATCATCTGATTGATCTGTTTGTTTGTCATGAAAAGCTGGAACTTGGAAAAATTGTTATTGCACAACACTACATTAAGCAAATACCTCTATCGATGATGCAAAACGATAAATAGCAAATCGACCAATGAATTTACTGCATAACAACGCACCCACCTCTTGACTTTGCAAAAGTGACCCAGAAAACGTTATTGACTGTAGGAATGTATTAACTACCATGTCCCAGGTTTTCAGTTGTTTCGTTATGCCCAACTAAGGTCCTCAAAAGTCACCCATAGATTATACATTAGGAAATAGGAGGGTTTTGTTTTGACATGCAGTATATAGCACAGACCTGTAAGCTGTACCTGATCAATTGTTTATCTCCATTCAACACACTTGTGCTCCATACTTTGCGAGGTAAGTTCTACCAAAAAATTCTCTATGATGAAAAATCGAACGAAGAATTAATTGAATCATAAACTGAAATCTTACTATTACGATAAAATACACAATTTATTTTAAATCTGGTAAAATCTCACAGACGTTTAGAGGCAAAAACCTTCATGGCGAATAAATTTATTTATATGATTATAATTTAATAAAATTTAAAATATTTTGGCGACGAAATGCAGGTAAATCGTCTGGCTATTCATTACAAATACGTAAATTTTATACTAAATTTCATCCACTTGAGCCACTCAAGGTAGAGGGTTACAGTGTGATGTATGAGCTTAAGTAAAGGTAAAAAGTGAAGTTAATGGTGCGTATGCGGGAAATATAAGTCTAAACAGGAAAAGGTCAAGATTGTAGTTGTTGGGAAAAAATCCTACTGTGAGTCTTTTCCACAAAGCCTCAGTTGGGATTCATAAAATGGCAGTGATTCAATTAATTCCTCTAGCCTCTGCTGCTGAGAAGTGTACGGTCACAGATTTCCACAACTAAGTCGTTGCTGCTGTATTTTTTACCTCAAGTTGGTTTTAAACCAATGGAAGTACTAAAGGCATGCCTAATCGGTTTGGGATTCCAAGTTGCGATTCTCATACGCTGTTTGCCGAGTAAACCTGAATACTTTTACCTCATACTCTAGACAGCAGAACTGGGAATTGAAGAGATTGATTCATATCTGTCCCAAGAGTATTTGAATGAAAATGCATGTAACTTACTCGACTGGAATTCGAAATCGACCCTCTAATTTCTCGTTCAGATATGGTAAACATTATACCATCTGTACATCCATAAATAACACAACAATGTTTGATAGTGTTTAGATCAACTGACCTAATGTGCAAATAAGATAAACAGGTGACATTAATCGTGGCTGACACAGACGGAAAACTACAGGACTTACTAGAAAAGTTTGTAAAGGAAAGTGAGAAGAAAGGACTAACTATCAATAGTATGAATATATGCTTGCCAGTAAGAGAAAAATCCCAAGATACGAACGACGAGTTGGTGATGTCAAAATCAAATAAATACAGGAGTGTAAATATCTTAGAAGGGTTTTAACATAGAATGGAAAATGTAACAATGAAATCCGAACGTAAGAAGAAAGAGGAAAAAATCGTTAAAACCAGGAATTCTGCTGAGAGTGACATGGACAGAACATGTGATTAATGAGGGAGTTTTAAGAAAAATGGGAATAAAAAGAGGCAATTAGGATCAGAATCAGAAAGAGACGTTTGAATATCCTAAGATACGTAATGGTTGATTGACTGATTTGTTTTATGATGGTTTATCAACCCTTCGAAGCCAGAAAATATATTTAGATTGTAAACATTTTTTTTAAAGATAATAATTGTTTAGTGATGCACGTCTTACTAATTAAATCCAGGGAGAGAAGCGGTAGATTCATACCTTTTATAATGGTATATACGTGTAAGTGAATGTAATGAACGTAAATGGAATTGGAACTCGGCTCTCCGATTAACAATTCCGAGCCATTATACATTACACCAGCTGCACATCCCAAATTATTGCACTTGGTATTTTCAAGTAGTCGCCTATCTAATTACTGATCAGGATCGTCGTTCCTTAAGATATATAATGCGGAAAGCGGGCTTGGATAATTTGACACTCACAGCATAGATCGAAGGTAAAATAGACAGCAGTAACAAAAAGGACCATCTACCTTCCTAGCTTATCCGAATGGATATCAAAACGCTGTTTCGGACTGATGGTAAAAAGTCAAATATTCCTAAGAACATAGTAAGCTGTGAAGAACCAAGATCGTTTACGTCCTGAAGAGACACGACCCAGTGAAGATGAACGTATACCGCCTTTTGGAAAAATGTGTGAATTATTTTAATGAATTTTGACTTGAAAGAATCTAAAGCGATATATAATAGTTGATTGATTAAAACTAATTAACGAATATTAAGCAAGTTGAATGTTTTTTTTTTATTCTTTTAATGCTCAGCGGAAGGTCTTCAGCCTCAGTGTTTGGCATTTATAAGAACGAAGAAACGTCTGCGATGACCTGTTTTTGGCTTTGAAAAAAGATGCCACGACTGACCTTTCAAATACATTTCCTGCAATGTCTTAATTATTAGCAAGCTAAAAATACACGCGGACAATCATTTTATTTTCGTGTTCTATTGTATATTCACATACGCTTGCATGCATTATTCATATAAAAATATGCAGACATGTACACGTACACACAGACATATGTAAGCATGCATGTTTCGTATCACACACGCACGCACACACACACACATCTATATATATATATATATATATATATATATATATATATATATATATATATAGACAGCATATTTTCATTCAAGCATATTTAGTTAAATAACTTAGAAGTATTGCGCCTATTTACTTTAGTTTTAATCCACGAATTAATTTTTTGGTGGCTGTAGAAAATTAATTAAGAAAAATTATAAAATTTTCTTTCACATAATTTTTATTTTCGTAAATACTTTTAATCTGAGAACATCTTCAGCGGGTTAGAATATCTGGGGATACGTCTACAGTAGATTCGAAAATTCAAAATATTTTTTCACTGCTGATTTACAAATTCGAATATGCAAGAGGGTAAGATTTAAAAATGAAAAATAATTTTAGTTTTTTAGTTATAATATTTTAGTTTAGCATGTTTTTAGCTATATTATTTTAATTTAGAATTTTATATAAAATTTAGCTACTACAAACATTTAAGAACTTTGTTGTTATACTCATAGCTGACTTTATTTTTGGCCGCAATTTTCTTATATAAAGGACTTCAAGAATTGTAAGTTTTTGACTATTATCATTATTATTTTCATGAAGTATGTATTTTAGACTAATATCTTTCAAAAAGGTGAATGTGAGCATAAGTGTTTCTTTATATGTTCTGAGATTGAACTATGGTCTTTCAAGTTAAACGCAAGCCGTTTCGTCAACATCGTCGTTGTAATAACAACATAAGTATTAACATTTTTATCAGAGATTTGATCTCACAAAGAACATTTAAATTGATATAAATCTTAATCTTTGTAAGATGCTAGTTGGGAAATTGTCTGAAAAAGTGGAAAAAATGTTTACTTGTGATGCATTTCGTACTTCAGGATTTCATTTGTTTTGTTGATACAAACGAAGTGTGATGGGGATTTTAGAATTTTTTTAATATCGAGCAGAATTCATTTGGAGTATTCTCCTTTTTTATTTTCATGATGTTAGTAGGCATCCAAAACTGTGATAGCTACTAATAAAAGTGATCGGAAGAACAAGAAACGACTGTAAATGAATTCGGCTAGATATTTTTAAAAATCCTAAAATTGCCAGCACCCACCGTTCGTGCGCATATGTAGTCTTACCAACATACCAAATTTCATACAATTAATTCCTGAAGGACGA